CCTCCCCCGGCAGCAGGTGGACGGGCGGCCGTGGTCAGAGCCCACGTGGGGGACGGACGAGGGCCTCCCTCTCACATGCTCTCCGTCAGTGAGACCGGGGTGTCCGCCATCACGGGCCCTTCCTGGTGCAGGACTGTTGGCCATCAATTTGCCCTCTCCTTTTGCACGGAACAGCTGCCATGTTTTCTGATAAATTATAGCTGCCCATTCCCCAGCCTCGGAGCCCGGAGGATCCCAGCCCTTGTATAAATCAGACTAATGAAAGCTGAGGTGGTTATGCTCGAGAGCAGACATTCATTCAGAGAACCTTTACAGAGGGCCCTCAAGGTGCCCGGACCTGCGCCAAGCACCAGGGCTGTGGAGACAAGTCAGGCCTGGTCTCGGCCTGCAGAAGGCCCACAGGCCAGGGGGGCTGCCGACATGTGCATGGCGTCCCACCGCAGGGAGCATTCAGACGGCCTGGTGGAAGGGGTCTGGATCTTGGAACCAGCTCTACTCCTTCTAAGTGTGTGGCCTTGAGCCAGTGCCTCAGCCTGTCTGAGCGATGGCTCCCCCATTTGCAAAGCAGCCAGGAGGATCCCTGTCTCATTGGATGGTTGTAGGAATTCAGTGACAACACAGCACAGGGGCTAGCCCAGTGTCTGGCACTGGGGGGCTCCATAGTTACCCGGTTCCCTCTCTCCCCTGCTCCCATGCTTTTGTGGCTGAAGCTGTGAGAAGGTGGAGGCAGAAACCACAACCCTGCTGGGGAGGGGAAAGAAAGGCTTCAGAGAACAGGTGGTATTGAGGTGAGGCTTCAAGGTTAAGGGTCAGGGGCAAGCCAGGGGTACAGGAAAGACAGAGAGATTGGCAAAGACCCAGAAGAGGATGAGGACGATGAGCAGGGAGAGCTGGGAAGCAGGAAGGGGCTTGCTCACACCGCAGGGCAGCGGCGGCACAGGGCCTGAGGGGGAAGCGCAGGGTGGGTTGGGGCTTTGGAGGTCGCATCAGCTAGGAAGGATGGCTTGGGACAGAGACTGAGCAGCGGCTGGGCCTGAGGGTAGGGAGCGACTGGGTTCAGAAAGACATATTAGGACCAGAGGAGTCCACGTGGCCGATGGTGCATTTTGAGTCCCAGGTTTAGTAGCTTGAAAATCACACCAGGCGCATGTATGTGTGCACCCAAAATCCTGAGAAGAGAACGGAGGAGAAGGGATTGTGGCAAGGTCATTCCCCCTGGGACTGGGAGGGCGATATCTCACTTTCCCCCTCTCTGTCTCTCTGCAGCAAGCATACGTGCCCTATAGCAAACACACACACACACACACACGCGTGCGCACACACTCAGGGCAGTGGAAGAACAGGAGTGTGCAGACCACGGCCAGGGCCCCATGGCCCAATGTCCTCCTGGCAAGGGCACCTCCAGCTGGATTCTGCTGGTCAACCTAGCTGCTCACCTGTCTGCCGCCAGGCCCACAGGGGAGTGTCCTGAACACACCTCACTGCCGTCCGGCTGGTGAGTCTGGACCTGTGAAAACCATAGTCCTTGGAAGGACGAGAATAAGCTGGTGGTCGTCCAAGCCGCGTGGACCTTTCTGACTGACCTGGCCATGGCATCTGTGGACCAGCAGCAGCAGAAGCACTGGGAGCTTGTTAGAAATACAGAACCCGGGAACCAGCAGTTAGCGTAATGACTATGTCGCTGGACTCCCACGTAGTCGACCGCGGTTC